TTACACATGTATGACTTCACACATTGTGTACTGCATCACAATTTTTGTCTGCGTGGGTTCGAGTCTAGGATTCAGCAAATGTGGATATGTGAGAAAGCTTGCCAGTAGCTTCTCGTGGTTCGGTGGTTCTTTCTGGTGATTTCCCGGTTTCTTCCTCCTCCATTAATACTGGCCGCCATGAATAGCCTACCGTGTGCTAAAAATGGTGTTAAGCCCAACAACAACAGCAACAACAACTTTTGTGTTGATAAATTCTAATTTTATTGTTTGATCCAAAGTAGGCTTTTTATACAGAAGAGGACACTCATTTCAAAGAAACAATGTCGATCAAATGATGGGTAGATTTGACTGCTGTAAATGTAAAATGAAAAAAAAAAATTTACATTAGTTAACCATTACCAACATGAATTTAATGGGTCTACAAATTTAAAATAGCTCATTGGAACATGATAATACTGGCAGTTTGTGACACGTTTGACAAATATCACTTATTATTTTGAAAACATCTGTTCACTTTTTTGTGTTACTCTGATTTTTCTGCTGCCTCTGTATATTGTTTATGAATGATTATCTCTCAGAGCTGGTATGGATAAGTATGTGTGACTTCCTGATTCACTGAGTGTATTTTTTCCTGATAATGAATTTTATTTACTTATATGTCAGCGCTGGAATCTCCAAAGCCATTCATGGCTTGCCTTAATATGAGATTTGATCTCCATACCTTTTGCTTTTTTTTCTGCTTGGGCCTTGAAAATTGTTCCAGAGATGGAAACTCCTTGTCCACGTCGTGTGAACCATGGGAACATAGCATTATCTATTTCACTGTTATTTGCAGTCCTTGCTGGTTTTAATTTGATCCCATTATCTGAATTAACATAATGTAAATAATCCCGAATTTTTTTTTAAGGTGAACCTCTAAATGTAGAGTTCACAATTGTTTAGTTCATTGCAAATGTTGGATCTTGCTTCGACATTATGAACAATATCTATGATGCACAGCTTTTAATTCCCTGAATACACCTTTTGCTTACTTCCTTTGCTGTCCATGGTCACATTTACAAATGATTAGGATACATTACTGATATTATATACTTCAGTGATGTTAAGTACATCAAAATGTGAAACCATTCTTGATTGGTCAAATAAAATGAATTTTGAGAATGATAGTGACCACAAGAACTTATGTTCCTATGGACATGCCTTTGAATTTTTTTTAAATTGTACTTTCCTTGCTTGATTGATACAAAAGACATTCAAAGTGATATAACAACTGGGGTCTCTTTTAATATATTTTGTTTAATGCAACAAACAGTTCTCCAAGTTGTTGAACAAAACAAAGCCAGTATGTAATTAGCTAGGTTCTCGATGGTTTGGATGTGACGGTTGATTGACTCTTTACATGTTTTTGTAGAAGAGAATGTGTTGCAATTATGGTGTTTATATTGAAGTGAAATTAAAGAATTAGAACCTGAGTTTCACAAAGCAAGACATTTGATTAGTGTTTCTTTCTTTCTTTGTTGCCACCTGTTAGCATTTACCAGAATTTTTTGTTGATTGCTGTTTCCTACTAGACTTTTTATTTACAGTGTATTGACAACTATTTCTCTGAAAAAAACCCAAACTTAATAGGTGATATCTTATTAAAATGTTTGCAAATTTCAAAATATGAATTCTATCTTTAGGGGCAATAATCACCATTTCCAATGATAAAAAAGCTTCCATATTTCATGTATTTTTTCGTACCCGTTAATTTTTCGTACAGAATACAGTTATCAAAATGATAATTATTTAAATGTATCATAATTTTTTATACATATCACTGTGTTATTTGAAAACATTTTTAAATTATCAGACATAAAATTTCCACTAAGAAGATTTGTGTTTGTAAAAAAAAACAAAAATAGCATATTCTCATTTTGTTTTTAAAAAAGTTAATGATTAATAATTATTTTTTCATGTATGAAACATAAAATAATGTTATTATCAAGGTTCAGTTTACCAATTCTTATTGCGATTTATTTTTCATGTTCAGCACATTTTAAAATATATTTTATTTGGGAAAATATAGGGTGCCATGCAGGACACTGCATTATAAGTGGGTTCGCAGTTATCCAGGTGTGAGTTATCAAGGGTGTGGTGTATATTGAGGTTTGTTATTCTGGCAATATATATCACAATATGGTTTTCTGTCCTGCAATTTGTTCAGTCAAGCTTTCATCCACCAGATCTTTGTGTACTGTATAAATTTTCCTATTTAATACAAGAACCATATTTTCTTTTTTTTCCCTATATGTCTAGCAAGGGAATATAAAGCAAGATGGACATTACCATTATTCAGGCAAAGTTTAGTTGGGGGTTGGCAAGTCAAGAGCAGGGGTTATATTTCCAGTTATAAATAATAATTTGTAAACTTCACTTTGCCTCAGATATTTATGTCCAGTTTGTAATGACACTAAATGAACATACTGAAGAGTATGACACTAAATGAACATATTGAAGATTATGACACTAAATGAACATACTGAAGAGTACATGTTCATAAATATAAAGTTCCTCAAATATAATTAGGCCTGGAATGTACATCTAGCAAAGCATGCATCATCTGATTGATATTTTAGTTTTAATGAGTAAAAGGAGAGCAAAATATATTATTAAACAAACATCAGATGCTTTTTTGTGCAAGTCCTTATGTCATGTTAACTTCTCTCCATCTTGACTAATTTTTCAAGGCAGTTGGCAAGCTTATAGACCTAAATTGTAATTTTTAAAACAATTTTTATTTTTTAACAAATGGATTTGAATTTATTCCAAACAGAAAAGCAAAAAGGGAAGTACCATTTGAAGTATTACAAGGTTACATCACTTAAAAGATGTATGTTTCAAGTAGTAAATATTATAGTGATTATTTTGTTGTTTTCATGAAGTTTTACTAGATTGCAATACGTTTTGTGCAATATGGATTTGGTGTATCGCATTATATTGCAATGTGGCTTTGGGCATATCATTGCACACCACCCCCACCCCAATTGCCTGTACATTAAATGATAGTCATTGCAAGTTGAGTTGGTCAGCAAGTCATATTGTTCCCAAAGAAAACCATATCTATAGTAAACTTTTATTTATAAACATGTCTGGTTTGGTGACTGCTACTGATGAATTATGGTTCATTGTGTCTGAGTGATGCTTATACAAGTGTTCAAAACTCACAGCTGTGAAAACCACTGTCATTGTTATGAATAAATAATCTTAAGCTGGAACTGAAGGATCCCAGAGAAGACAGGGCTTGCCAAGTTGGAGATAACACTTATAACATTGTGAGCTTCATACAATGGGTTAAGTTGAAGCAGTATTAAGCAGACATAGTATTCTTGGGTGAATAAAATGGAATGATGGACTAAAGTGATTGCCCAAAGAGAATCCCAAAGAATTGAAAAATGCATAGAAGCCTAAAGTGTTCAAAGACAATTAACAGCAGTCATGTTAACAATACTTGGGTTAGGAGGATATAGGTATAAATATATTAACAGTGGCATCATGCAGATATCTTACAGATGAATTCTTGGCACTAGTTAAAGTGGCAATAATTACAATATTTTTGTTATTGGGAAAATTATTGTATATATTTAAGTGCAATATACATCACATATAATAGCAAAAAGCTATTGCTTGAAACTTTCTTTGTCTGAGGCAGTCCATAATGAAAAGGAGTCTTAGCATGATATAGAAAGTAAGTCAAATATTGAAGTCTAGCTGTGGCATAATAAATAAAGATTGGTTTCAATGTCCCAGTACTGTATTGTGTTGTGTTACTTATGACTGGGTTTAACATTTAGATAAAGGTGACCAAGCAAACATTTTTTGTATTAGATTTTTATAAAGCTTTTGACACTCTCCCCCATGAATTATTAAAGAGTATGGTAGCTCTTTGGTACAATCCATGTAACAGTTCAGTTGCAATTTATTATGACTGTCCTAAACTTAAATAAGTCTGTCTGTGTCATAAACTTAAATAAATCTGTCAAATATATTTCAAGAATGATGTCTGAGAAATTGTTGCATGCATGTCTATCCTGTGGCACAGTCAATATAATCTTGTATGGATAGATAAGGCATCCTGAATTCATACAAACTGCTGCAGCTGATGAAATTTCTGCCACACCATATAAATTTCATAGCCAACTTGGAATCAGGGTGTGAAGTTCATGTATCAGGGTGTGAAGTTCATGTTCTGGAAATTACCAAACTGAGGACCTGCTAGTAGAAGGAAAATGCAGTGAGTATATGTGAACATTTTTATATGAATATGAGTCAATCACAAATGATACATTTTGGAAGCCAGGAATGCTGAAGCTTTGGTGAATACCGGAATGGTGACAATAATCAAATCCAAAGATTTCAAGTGGACACATCCAAGATATGGGCGTACATCATATGCATGAATCCGAAGAGTAACACCTTCAAAGATTGAATATAAATTGATACACATATACCAATGAAGAAATGGTGTGAACATATTGCCATATAGTGAACACTTGCATTACATCAGCACACAGCTTCACTTCTGATCCACTGATAAATGGATATTATTTTGGACTGCACACATGTAATAAATATAAAAATACATTGCATCCACTGAAAATACACCCACCCTACCCCTCAAAAAATGACTTATTGCACTTGTTTTAAAATTAGGGTAGGTAGGGATTTAAAAAATTAATTAAATTGAATATATATATATATATATATATATATATATACACACACACACACACACACACACTTAGCACTTCAAGTATTGGTTACTGGTTAAAGCAGCTGTTGGATTCACAAATCAATTTAGAAAATTTTTTAAGTTTGTAAAAAAAATATTTTTCTTTTACTCTTATGGGCAAAAAGTGTTAGGGCTGGAAATAAAAGTCAGTGACAGTCAGCCAGATGTATACAAACTTATTATTTTTGGCCTGGGGATGGATTGAACCATCTTCCATCCTCGTAGAACCGCTCTGGTGGCCTAGTGGTTAGAGCATCTGCCTCAGATGCAGTAGGTCAAGGGTTAGATCCCTGGTTGAGTCATACCAAAGACTTACAAAAATGGTACTGACAGCTGCCTCACTTGGCACTCAGCATTAAGAAGTTAGTGTTAGGACAGGTTGGTCTGGTGTCAGGATATTGTGACTGGGTGGGACATCATGCTAGACATCACAATAAACTGCCACACTGCAGACACCATAGCAATATGACTGAAATTTATTTAAAGCTATGTTAAAAATCTTAATCACATCACATGACATCACTCCATCCTCATATGTTGACTACTAACATCATCATGATCTGTATCTATTCATACTTCTATTGGCTTTGCCCTCTGAGCAGCATAGATAGCACTGTGGAGTATGCATATATCTGGTGTAACAACTGGATGACCATTTGCCCAGTTGATGATGTCACAGCCTCCATATGTAACAAATGCTCACAATAAGTTTATATTCAATGAAAGATTAAAGCATTTTGTTACAATGGTTAATTTGTATACACACTTCCAGAAAGGGTTTGTTTTAGAAAACGTCAATGAGGAAAGCAGTGTTTATTTGGAAGTACACATCTCCATGACTAGTTTGATTGATGTGATCTTGAATAATGAGTTTGCCATATCACAAAAAGCCAAAAATAATTTATGATGCAGCCATTAATAGAAAATTATAGTGTATGTCAAATACTTTCATTTCTTAGAATTGTTAAAGTGCTGCCAGTGGATTATGTGTAATAAGCTGGTGCAGTCTTGTACATAATCCTTGTGTATTTTAGATTGTTTAGAGAATGGTGGCAATGGAAGGCAGATCATTTCTGTCCTTGGCCTGCATATGTTTTAACCCAGTGACACCAAGGTATAGCTTTATTGTAGAATACTTCAGGTGTGTCACAAATTAAATGAGTGTGCTTTATATTACAGTATGTTTGACCTGAATGTTTGACCTGAATGACCTTTTGAATTTTTTTTTTATTTCATTGATGTAAACAACTAATAATAGCTTCATTATTCTGTATGTGTATGAGCCAATTAACCAAATTATTATTCAGCTAAACATGTTGATTTGTGTCAGGGTTTTAGAGAAAGTGAATTTTATAGGCTATTATGTTTTAAATAAACAAGGCATTATTAAATGATGCTTTAAAGTTATTTTCTATTCTGTAATAGTCATTTTTTGAAAATTCTAATTTGTGACCTGTGGTCAAATAGAGAACTATATTATCTTGTGACTGTCATAATTTTACCAGTTGTGCTTCAGCACCTAGCACTTTGAGTTGTATTATGCTGTGACTAGTTTGTGCTGAATTTTATTATCTTCAAATTATTGAATTCAAGTGATTCTTTTCTCTGGAAATACAAAACTGCTCTGATAAAATTCTTGGAAGACATTCATTGAAATTTATATCTAATTTAAATCTGTAACAAAATTTCTGCGATACAACAAGAGATTGTTGACACATCAGTACTTCACAAACCACAACAGACACATCATTGCCTTCAATTTTAAAACTCTGCGTGGGTTTGAGTCTCAGATTCGGCCATTGTGGGTATGTGAGAAAGCTTGCAGTAGCTGCTCGTGGTTTGGTGGTTCATTCTGGTGATTTCCTAGGTCCTTCCTCCACATTGATACTGGTTTACTGCTACAGTGGATTTTAATTTCCTTCTGAACTCAGTACAAGTACAAACAGATATGTAGTTATATCTGGGATGTTTCTTTTAAGACATTCATTATTTGACCTCATCTGCCTTTTTTCAACATGTATTTTAGGCATACATTTATGCTTATGGTAACCAAAAGATCAATTTCAAATATGTACAAATACAAATAAATTAAAACTATTTGCACTTAATAAAGGTTAAATTTTCAGAAGATTTCATAGTTGTATTTCAGTGTACCTTATGTGAAATGTGAAGGTGATATTAGACTAAATTCTTAAGATGTAGTTATAACCCAACACAGGCTAGGAGGTTGAAATGGTTGCTCAAGATGGCTGACATTTGCTATTGTACAGATTGTTTGGCATTAAAAAATATTCTGAACTTTTCATAGCTTTAATCATATCACTTGGTACTTTTGTATTGGATGATTTGTTTATTTCATTTCTTAAGTCTGATTTTTGCAGATGCACAGTGTTAATACAGTTCTAACATCTTTGCCAATGATATCAGTAATTATCCACACCATACTCCATTCTGGTTATGCAACAGAATGATAGTCACTTGAAAGCAACTTGATGTTTTGATAGTTGTTAGATGGTTTGGATTTATTTTGGATATAAATTGATTTTGTATGAAATGTGCATGTATTATAAGAGTTCTGATTAATTTTAAGCTCATTTAAGAAATCATATATCATCTTGATAGTCTGATGCAATAAGTCATTTATTATCATTTTGCCAGCTTAATGTCATTTTGTAGTCATCTTTCCAGCTTCATCAGCTGAATCATTTAGTCATCTTCCCAACCACATCTATTGAGTCATTTGTAGTCATCTTGTCAGCTTCATGTTTCAGTCATTTGCATTCATCTTTCCAGCCTCCTGTATTGAATCATTTGTATCTGGGCATGAACTTAATGTATGGAAGACACTGATTGATTTGGGGTCAGAAGGTCAAAGGTCAGATTCTTGTATCTCCTGGAAAACAATGGGTTTTGTAGAATAACAGGCATGAAATCTTGGAAGAAACTTTCTGAGGTCAGGCCCTTGGTCACATTAGTCTAAAAAGAAACTGAAGTTTTCTGCACAGTAAGTTTAGTTTTTGACTGCAAAGGAGTGGGTATATAATTTGACATTCATAATACTATTGTTTATGTTCATAATTTGCATGAAAACCTTATGTAAATATAAGGTAATTGGTTTTTCTAAATTAATTTCTGTGTCATCATCCTAATATTGGGACTGAGTAATCTTGTATCAAGTTTTAAAGTTGAGATCATATAAATTTTCATCTCTAATAGAGATGAATAGTCTTTTAATTTTCTTTTAAGTATCTTTCAAAATTGTAATACAAAAAGACTTATCATTTGTATGCAAGTTTTATTGGACATACAATTTCAGCATTTAGAGTATTAGTTGCTAAAAAAAATATCTTCGTCTCCATAAAAAATTGAGAAAATAGTTTTATAGTTGGCACGTATTTGAGTTGAATGTACACTTGAGTAAAGGGCATTTGGGGATATGGATCAGATACTAAAGCCAGTTAAGTCAGATAGACCTTATTTTACATTATAAATAGCTTGGGTAATAAGATGCATATTGCATGGATTACACATATGGTACAATTTAGGACTGGAATGTGATTCACTTATTTCATTATAAGATTTACTCAGATGTGCATCTTACCAGGAAATACTTGCAGCCTTTTGCATTCTTTAGGTTCAAAATATTGCATGGGGGAAATAAAGTATAGCTGGTCTCTTATTGTAAGAAAACAATCACAAGAAGTAAGACTGAGATTGTCCAAAATTCAGCAGGATATGTTTCCACAAACTGCGAGCTACTGTATTAAACATATAGGAATCATCTGTTCTGTATATGTTCACTTTTCTCTCTTTATCGTTTCATTCTCCAGGAATTGGTTTGCGTATTGCAAGGCACTTGTATTTATCAAGAATTGTATTTGCATATTGTAGGAGACATATTTATCAGGTTCAGCAAATAGTTCTTTAAGAAACTAATCATAGCAAGCATGTCTAGATTAGTTGACTATTGGACTAAAAAATTTTGTCTTTTAGCAGTGATCATGGTTATTGTGGTCCAGATGTTAAACTTATAAAAAAATGATTGTTGTTTGAAACTGCATAAAAATAAAAGTATTCTTCTTTAGTCAGCATATGTATTTCATTAGAGTGCATAATGAGTCAGCATATGTATTTCATTAGAGTGCATAATGAGTCAGCATATGTATTTCATTAAAGTGCATAATGAGTCAGCATATGTATTTCATTAGAGTGCATAATGAGTCAGCATATGTATTTCATTAGAGTGCATAATGTTCATAGAGTCACATTGTCATGAAGTGGTGGAAAATACACTTGCTAATGTAAACCAAATCACATGCTTGCTTTCTCCTAAATTTATCAGTATTCTATTTTACAAATTTCACAGGTTGATTCAGTTCTAATTACCATTGTTTCATTTTAATGAAACATGTTCTGTTGAGAATATTGCTGACTTTTAGGTATTAACGGTTGATACTTTTTACTGGAAGTTATTTTCCATATTTTATTTGCATATTACATTAGAAAAGTCACAGATAAAATTCTTGAAACAACCTTTCACACAATTAAATACTAGTCAGTAACTTGGCTACTTTTGTATTTCCATAACATGATTTAGATAGGGTTTATTCTGGGTAATATCATTTACAGTTGTGCCATGTGATATCCCATTCCTTAATTCTTTTGTTTATGGTCACCACTTACCACTTAGTTTCTTTGATTTCACTGTAAAGCAGGTTGAAAACGTTGTATAAGGTGTAGATTTTTCACACTAGACAGCTTTCTTTTTTGGAAAAGCAACTTTGCCTTCCAGCTGTACTGAAATTGAGGAATAGTGTGAAATAGCCATCACTTTTTTAGTTTCCAGGCATTTTAATTCTTCTACTCATTGATATATGATCAAATTTTATGCAGACAAGCTTGTAAATGATTTATCTTTGAATATTTTAAACTGTCAATACAAGACTTTGGTAAATTGTATGACTGATATTGTCAGGTTGACAGTGTTATTTTGCATTGCCACAATTGTTAATCAGATGGAAGGATATATGAATAGATAAGAGGCATATAGAGTGACCCTTATTCATCTGTCCATCATTCCTTCTGTCCATTAGACTTTGGTCAAGTTTTGCTGATATTCAAGTCAGGAGGTCTTAGAGGGCATTCATGTTCCATAAAGACATTTTTGTCTCATATTTTATCAAACATGTAGGAATGACCTTGCCAGTGTAGTATTAATCAAAAACAAAGAAAAGTTCATATATTTCCCACACTAATGATGTAACCTTTTTATTTTATACTCATTTAGTTTTTCTACTTATGG